GACAACAAAACACAGAGCTTGGCCCTCCTGTGTTTGAACAGGAAGTGTGGGAGGGGTGGCAGGGCAGCTGGAAAACTAACCTGGTTTCTTTATGCAGGCTGGTTTGTTTCCACATCTCAGACTGGGAAGAGTATGTTACTGTCCTCTTCCAAGGTCCACCCACAGCTTGCGTTCCACCCGCTAGCATCACCACTCACAATGGACTTGTGAAGATCTCCGCTGTGTGCCCTGCCCTCACCTTTCTTGCATGACGCAACCTGAAGTGAAACAGTTGACAAGGTGACACTCTCCTCATCTTTGCTTCATAATTAACACCTCCGTGAGAAGCATGGGGGCAGCTCCCACATCCCTAGAGCAAAAGACAGGACTATGCAGCACTTTAAAGACTACCAAGATGGTTTATTAGGTGATGAGCTTTCGTGGGCCTGACCCACTTCAAATTGATCTGAGGAAGTGAGTCTGGCCCATGAAAGCTCATCACCTAATAAACCATCTTGTTAGTCTTTAAAGTGCTATATAGCTCTGTCTTTTGTTTCAGTTAGACCAGACTAACACGGCTGCATCTCTATCACTATCTCTAGAGCAACTGCTTGAGGCTCCCTGAAGACTCAGACATCATTGAACATTTTGTCTCCCGATTTGAAGTTTTCCCTTCACCATCTCTAGGACTACACATTTTTTAGTTGAGTGCTGAGAAGCTGCAGCACAAAGTGCTAACAGCAGGAGAGCACTGTGGGCAGCCCAGTGTCATAAACCAGCCTAATTCCACCCAGCGCAGGCTGTAGAGAAAAGTGAGGCTTCAAAGCAGGAAAGAAAGCAGAGACAGAGATGCCTCAGCAGAGTCCATCTATTCCAGGGGTGGGCAATAATTTTTCATGGGGGGCCACTCCAAGAACTTGGAAAGTGGTCGCGGGCCGCACTCTTCCATATTAATGGAGGAGGAGCAGGGTCTGGGATGGAGGTTGGGTGCAGAAGGTCGCTTGGGGTAAGGGATTAGGGTGCAGGAGGGAGTGCGGGGTTTGGGGAGAGGTGGTTGTGACCTGGGGCACTGGACTTGGGTGCTGGGGTTTGGGTTGTGACCTAGGACAGGAGGGGATTGTGACCTACAGCAGGGGACTGAGGTACAGGAGGAGGTGCAGGGGTTTGGGTTGTGACCTAAGGCAAGAGGGGATTGTGATCTGGGGCAGGGGATTGGGGTGCCAAATATAGAAGGGGATATGGGTGCACGAGGGGGGCAGAATGTTTGGATATGTGAAGTAGAAGGTAGGCATAGGGGGGCAGAGGTTTGGAGAGAGGGAGGAGCTGGGGTGCCAGAGGCAAGCTTTGGCTAGGAGATTTCCCTGAGTGACTCCTAGCCAGCAGCCCAGCATGTTTCTCAGGTGCCCACCAACCAGCCTGTCCTGCCCCCACGCAGGCTGCAGAGGCGTGTGTGTGTGTGAATAAGTACGAGCTCGAGGTGAGGGGCATGATACTTCATGGCTGCCTGTTATTCAAACACACACTCCCATTGGCCAGTTTCTGGTCAGAAACCAATCTAGGGGATTGTACTGGGGCAGGGGCACCTTCTGAAACCTTCCCCCCTTCTCTCTGGACTCACAGTTTTGAAAGAGACACAGCACAGCAACTGCTTTTCTGAGTGGTGTGCAGGTGGAGCAAGGCAAGCAGGGAGCCTGCCTGGTGCTCCCCGCTGTGTCTGCAGGTCGGATCTGGTGGCTTGGTGGGCTGGATCTGACCCATGGGCTGTATTTTGCGCAGGCCTGAACTAATCCTTCCCAAGGAGGGAAAGGCAGGAGGAGGCTATATATCACGTCCCACAGGGGCTCTATCCATCCTAGGGCCTCCCGCTCCTTCCCTGGAGAAGCAATTCATAGCTAAGTGCCAGGAAAGCCCTCCAAACACTGCCTGCATGTTTCCCTTTCCTACTTTTATCATTGACTCCCCCATACAGCTGCTAACTAAGAGCCAGGCTGGGCCAGGCCCATGCTGTATTGTGGGGACCCTAGACCCAGCCCTGGATCTAACAGGAGAAGGGGTCAGATCTAGTCACTATTTTCACAGGGCTTTGCTTAGGGTTTCTCAGCCATCTGGGCTTGATGGGGGTGGGGGAAGTAGAGGCCCCTCTATGATGCTTCTGCATACGCTGCCTTAGTGTTGGCTGCTGGTGCTCCCAGGAGACATAGGTCCCTGTCCCCTCAGGCTCCTTTCTCAGGCCCCATCTCCTAGGGGTGGGGCTTTGGGATCTGGACACAAGGCTTCAAGCTGATGCCCCCAAGTATTTTAGGAAAAAATACTTTTATGCCACCAAAAAGTGTGTCCTGAGAAGCCCTGGCTTAGTGGCAATGCCAGGGCATGGAATGACTGCCCTCTGCTGGGGAATGACAGAAAGCACCTGTCTAGCATTCCCAAATCAGCCTGCACCCGCTCCATCACCCCCAGGCAGGCAGAGCTGTGGCTGCTCTCCCCTCAGGAGCACAGATAAGGCCACCCACTTGTGTCTCTAGCCCCTGATGGGGACTCAATGGCTTGTCGTGCTGGGTGGAGACTCAATAGGTTGCTTTGCCGGCGGTGCCCGGAAGGCGGGCTCTGCCTTTCCAGCTCAGCAGGCACAAACAAACCCGCATTGTCTGACTCAGGCTGCAGCCCTGCGAGGGGCCCACCAGGGAAGCTCAGCCAGCTGCCTCCCCACAGCTGGGCCAAGCTCAGAGCTGTGCACTGCCCCTTGGACTGGGGAAGGGGGAGTCTGGCATAAGGCTAAATCCAAACTACAGCCCCTGGTCACTGTGTCACTAGCAGGGCCGTCTGGCACAGCTGGGAGGGAGAGATGTTAAATGCTGGCACCACTGGAGTCATGATCATTGCTCCTGGCCGGACCCCTCGATTCTCCCCAACTCATTCAGACTGAAGGACATCTCGGTATGGATATGAGAGGACAGCCACTTGTTCTCTCAGGAAGCAGGGCAAGGGTTGATGGCCAGGGGCTTTCCCCACCCTCACGGCCTGCAGAGGGTTTCCAGTCCACCCAGTCCAAAGGCCTATAAGATATACAGCTTCCTCCTGCCCTGCCCTCCTTGGGAAGGATTAGTTCAGGCCTAGGCTGACTACAGTGCCCACTCCTGCACAGCCATCTTTGGAAGTGATCTTTCCCTTCCCTTGGCACGCCAGCAGCCTCTCCCGTATCTCCCTCCTCAGCCCCTCTCTTCCCTGCCATACTCCTACCCCTCACACCTTGTTCTTTATTCTTCCCGCACACACAGCTCCCTTCACTGCCTTTGCCACTCCCACACCTCTAACATTTCCTTCTTTCCAGCTTCTACCCTCTCACCAAAGCAGGCTGCAACTTGTTTATCAGGGATGGTCTAGATCAGGCCTGCACAACTTGGAAAGCGGCAAGGGCCACATTACTCCAAAGAAAACAGCTGCGGGCCACAAGTAGGGATGCTCTCCCAAAAAATACCGAACACCCAGGCAAAACATTTTTGTCGAGCAAACAACCAACAAAAAAAAAAAAAAAAAAAAACCAACTCACCATGCGTGTCTCCACTTGGCCCCCTGACATTTGTCTGCACCCTGCCCCTTGGTGCCTTCCCCTTTCTCCTGACCTGCCCCCTTCCCCTCTGCACAAGCCCTTTCCCCTCCCCTACCTGGCTTCTGCCTTGCAGGTTGCGGGGCTGCTGGAGCCTTTTTGAATCCGGCGGTCGCTGGCCGTGACGTCATGACGCCATGTCACGCCAGCATCCTGGCGTCTGCCGGCGTCCCGCCCTCTAGCTTGCGCCCTGCCGCCTTGCACCAGAGCTGCATGCAGGCAACCTGGCAGCAAGAATCGCCACACTTCCCTCTCCCCGGCGGTGCTCTGCTCCTCCGGCTGCCGCCCATAGTTGTCACGGGCCGCACAGTGACCCTCTACGGGCCGCATGCAGCCCTCGGGCCGTATGTTGTACAGGCCTGTGATAAGAGTTTTACCTCCTACCCAGTGCAAGATAGAGAAGGGAATTTCCCATTGCTATTTGGGTACCCGAGAGGCAACCGAGAAAATAGTAGTATTGTGAGACTGTGTAACAGACATGAGATTAGACACCCTTTAAAGTAATGGAAATTTCTTCAAGGAATCTTTCTCTTTAAACCAACACCTCCATCTTGCCTGGGTTTCATTTTAGCCAGCTATTTTTTTTCATGCAACTGCTTATCTCTTCTAGGGTTAGATGTCTGAGTGATGGCACTGTGCATAGCTGACATGAAGTATAGATGTATATCACCATGCATATTGCTGAAGGAGGCTGCAGAATCTCACAGGTTCCTCAAGGGGATTAACATATACGTAAAGAGGAAGGGAGACCAGCTTGAGACCTGTGAGACACCATGGGTGAGCAGACAGGAGCTCTGGGAGGGAATTTGGATGCAGGAGAAAGGGCTGTTGACTCAGGGAGGGGGCTCTGGGCTGGGGGGTGTTGGGTTCAGGTGGAAGGTTGGGGTGCTGAGCAAGCCACGGGCTTGTGGATGTGAGGGTGCAGGAGTTTGGGTTGGATATGTGAGGGGCCCAGGGCAGGGAGGTTGTGAGTATGATGAGCTCAGGTCACAGATTTGTGATCTGTGGATGGTGCAGGAATGTTGTGGCAGAAGACTGAGGATGTGGGGATGCAGGAGTGTGGGGATGTAAGAGGCTCAGGACGGGGATTCCAGTGTATGATAGGCTCAGATTTGGGGTCAGGTGGTGCAGGAGTGTTATGATGCTGCAGTGAGATGGGGATTTGGCCCCAATTGCGGACATGTTGGCCAGGCTTCATTTTTAAATAAAATATTATGTCAAACTCAAAAGGTTTCAGTTTTGTCTTTATTTATGAGAAGGGATTGTCTTTATATGCGAGAGGGGTGAGGAACCTGTTTTGAGTCAAGGGTCACTGACCCACAGAAAAGTCAGTTGGGGCCACACAAGTGAGATGCAAAAAACCAAAAAAAAGCTCCTCCAAAAACCCCCAAGCCTCACTAATGTGGTCCCAACAGCGCTGGTGGGGGCAGGGGACAGAGTGCTAGTGGGTGCTGGGGCTGAGGAGAGGGTGCTGCTGGGTGGCAGGATGCTGGCATAGGTGGCAGAGTGCTGGGGCAGGATGCTGGTGTAGGTGTCAGGGTGCTGGTGTCAGGGACATGGTCCTGCTGGGCACTGGGGTGGGTGACAGGTGCTGGGACAAGGACAAGGTGGTGCTGGGTCCTGGGGTGGATGGCAGGGGTGCTGGGGCCGGGGACAGGGTGGTGCTAGGGTGGG